TAGGTGCAGATATGCTTATAATTGTTATATCTTCCTGATGGATTGGTCCTTCTATCATTATAAAATGCTCCACTTTATAACATTTTTGTTTTAAAGTCTACTTTGCCTGATAGTAGTATAGTCACTCCAACTCTGTTTTGAATTCTTAAAGGTAGGTAGTGTAAGTCAGTGAAGAATGTATGTCTTTTCCTTTTTCTATCCATATTTCAAATGTAATGTTTCACCACTCAACAAACTCTCCTTGAGCAATATGCATGGTCCATAACATGTGTGGTATGAAAACTCAATTCTTCAAGAGATTGGTTAATTAGTTTCTTATTGTTCTCCATCTCATTCTCAAGAAATTAAAATTATACCCATCTTTAAAATAACTATTAGGTATCCTCATGACCAGGACTTAGAGGTAAAGAAGATAAAATCAAAGTGAAAGGAATTAAGGAGGAAGTTTATGAAAATTATAAGAGCATACATGTGCTAGGAAACAAGATGTTGATTCTTGAATCCCTCTTCAAGTCAGAAAATCTCCCTAAATTCTTTGAGCCATTCATTTGCCCTGAACCCAGTAGGGGAACTCCCAATTGATGTTAGTGGGAAATGGCGTGGAATGATTGTTGCATGCCTGGGCCTCAATGTCTATGCACCTTAATGTGCCAAAATAATTACAGATTTCAAAAGGAAAAAACAATTTAAAAAATAGATGTAATTTCATTCTGAACAAGGGTCCCTGTTTGATCTTTCCCTGTGTTAGAGTTTGTTTGTTGTCCTGAAGGGTAAGTGACACCCAGACACTCCCACTGGGTGAGAAAAACCTCATATTTGGTGCCAGTTGCTTGCCGCTGCTTTGAGTTTTAGTTCAGAGAGGTGAAGGTGGTGTAACCTCTACCTAGCTGTGTTCTGGCATGGGCCCTTGGTGACAGTGTGTCTGAGCCGCTGGTACACCGGGAGTCTTTGGAGCAGCTCTTCCTTGCTCTTTCAACAACCAGCCAATTTGGTCTCAGGAAACCACTCTGCAGTGCTGGCTGAGTTTGGAAGTCATTTTTAATTTTGTGACAAAGACAAATATGTCCTTCGGGAGTAGTAAGTGGTTTTACTGGTGATAATAATGGAACTGTGACCTCTTCTGTATCTATGGTCCTTCAAAACAAAAAATGTTTGTATTATTATATGGCAGGCAAATTCTTAGCCCTTCCTTGAATCAAATCACAGAGGAAGTGTACTATTAATAAGCCCAGAGAGTATTGTTTGTGTGTGTTTGTGTGTGTGTGTCTACGTGTGTGTGTGTGTGTCTACAGTCATAAACTCATTTGCAAACACAGTGGATTTATAATGCCACTATTAACCATGACACAAATGATGTGTTTTGAATTGTGTTGGAATGGACATAAATCATTAAAGTTCTGCCATCTTTGAACAGACTGCAGTGGGCTCAGTGCTGAAATTGGTATTGACTTTTAGAGGGCAAGCCAGTAGCCCTAGTACAATTTAAGCATCTTGGAAATCCCATTAAGTGACAAAGGGAAAGAAGAAATTCAACGGCGTATTGAATTAACCTCTTCCATTTCATTTGGGATTGGCATTCATTAGCCTAGAAATAACTACGCTGATGTTTACTATTTCCTGTAGGAACTTTTTATGCCAGTGTCCTTTGTTGAAAATCGTTGCTTCAGGAGACAGTAAATTAGATATGAAGGATTTACAGTTTAGTTAAATGAATTAAACCGTTTCCTGGTGTTTGTGTTTACCTTGGGACTCACAAAGGAGACAAAAATATAGACTCACAGGAGGAAGGAAAGGAACGATCAAATCCCAATAGCCCCTGCCTGAATGTCTAGCTCAGCAACTCTATTTACAGGAGGAATTTAATGCTGATAAGTGAATCCTTCATCTCTGTATAATTAACTTTTCCTCTCTGCACCCACTGAGCTTCCTTAATAAACACATAATTTTATTAAATGTGGCAGTTAATGTCCCATTCTATGATATGTGATAAAACTAAAGTAAAGCAAATGCAAAATTTATAGTTTTCCTCAAGTAAAAATGAATGCTGTCTTATAATTTTAGTTTTAATTTCAATAATGAAAGATTATAAAGGAAAACATGATCTTTCTAGAAAAATATGACAAATACAGAAGAGGGTAAATAAAAAAATAACAATGACCCACCAAGTGTTGTTGTTGGGTGGCGTCAAGTCAGTTCCGACTCATAGCAACCCCTTGTGACAGAGTAGAGCTGCTCCATAGGGTTTCCTAGGCTGTAATCTTTACAGGAGCAGATCACTATGTCTTTCTCCCTTGGAGCCACTGGGTGAGTTCGAACCACAACCTTTCAGTTAACAGCTGAGCACTTAACTGTTGCCCCACAAGGACTCCTTGTTAACGTGCCAAGTGACAAAGGGAAAGAAGAAATTCAAAGGCGTACTGAATTAACCTCTTCCATTTCATTTGGGATTGGCATTATACTATATACTAGCTTCTAGTCTTTTTTTTGCTATGCCACTATATGAATATATATTTATGCTTTTATATATTTAAGATCGTGAGTATAATTTTTAATTTCCATGTACCCTCTTTCTCTCCATAAGTTCACATCTCTCAAAATAAAAAGACAATTAATAGCTAACACATATATAATGCTAACTATCTGCCAGGCATCGTTTTAAATACTTTACATGTCTTAACTCATGTAGTCCTCATAATAACTGTTAAAACTAAAATTTCCGCCATATTAAAATTATGTAAGGACTCATAAGCATTAGTTTTTGCAATTCATGGATTTGGAGACGTCTGGTGTGAATACAAGAGCAGTATAAAGCTGAAAGGATTTTGTCAGTTCTGACACACAGGAGCAAGGACCCACAAATTTCGGATTGGCTGGTGGGCGTTTTCCTTCCTTATTTGGGATTAAGGGGGAAATTCGAACTGGGTTAAACCGAGCAGGCAAGTCCTGATTGGTTAGTTTACATTTTCACTTCCAGGAAAGTCAATGGATTGACTTGGGTTTTGGCTCCTGGGAAGGTTAGGCATTGTAAACTGAAACTGAGGTTTCAGTTTGCTGACACAGGGCTCAGCACAAGTGACTCCATTTTGGGCCTGGTATAGTCAGGTTAAGGAGCCCTGGTGGCGCAGTGGTTAAAGCACCTGGCTGCGAACTAAAAGGTTGTTCGAACCCACCAGCCACTTAACTTTCCATGTGAAAATCAGCCTTTGGTCTCTAAAAAACAGTTCCCATCCACAGCCCTTCCTGTGGGGGGTGCTACCTCAAGAAGAAGAAGCCAGCGATCCAGCTGTGAGTGTGGTTGAAGGCAAGAGCCTGGATTGGAGGTCAGGAGACATTGGTCTCCAGGTCTGCTCTGCTCACATCTAGTGTGAACTTAGGCAACTCAGTTCACCTGGTGGGACTCTTTTTTCTCATCTGCAAAATGGCAGGGTTGCATAGCTATTCATCATTGAATATACATTAGACAGAGACGACTGTGAGACATTTCCTCTCCGAGGAATTCACCATTCTCCGTGTAACCAGAGAAATAAACTGTCAATTCCAGTTCAGTGTAGTCAGGCCGGGCCGAGGCGGAGGAGGAGGCAGGAAGGAAGGATCTGGCAAGCCTTCCCAGAGGAAGAGTAGGAATTACCCAGGTGCCAAAGGGAGATGAGCCTTGGTGAAAGGGGTCTCTCTGGGCCCCCTCCAGTGCTCACATCTATGCCTCCGTCCCACACCGCTGGGTGCCAAACGATCCCATCTTCAGCAGGCAATGCCATACTTTTTAAGGCCTTTCCCAGACCTCTTTGTACACGCTTGCATATTAAAAGAAAACGGACCCATTGCCGTCGAATCAATTCCAACTCATAGCAACCCTATAGGGCAGGGTACAGCTGCCCCATAAGGTTTCCAAGGAGCGCCTGATGGATTCAAACTGTCTACCTTTTGGTTAGCAGCCCTAGCTCTTGACCACTACGCCCCCAGGGTTTCCATGCTTGCGTTTATTTTCCTTCTGCTAGATAAGTAGCGCATACTAAAGAAACAGACCTAATATGCATATGAAATAAATGCAGTCTTCAACCCTGCTTCTCTAGCCTCTCCCCCGCCCACCCCCTACGAAAGGTCTAGAGAACCTTTAAATCCTGCTTCTGTCATTCAAATGATAATCCTCCCTCCAACTTGCAACACCAGCTTCTTCTCTAGCCGCTGTCCTCTGTGCTCCGAAGGGTGTTGACTTTCGCTATTGCACCTGCCCCCATTGACTTCTTACGGAGACTCGGGAGGGTGCTTCCTGAGGCATTTAGCATAGCTGTGGCACAAAGTTTATGCAGAATATTCTCCTTTCTCTACGGCTTTTCCCCACAGTGTCAACATTGCATACTAGGGCACTAGGGCAGTCTGTTTAGAAAACCAAGAACCGAATGAGGAATTAGGCTTTTTTCAAGAACCTTTCTCTTTCTGGGCAGAAACACAGAGGGCCGAATTCAGAGAGAACAAATGTGATTTAAAGGATTACATTAAGGGAGGACGAGATAACTATAGCAATGCCCGTATTACCCCACCAGCTACAGTGTTTGTTGTTGTTGTTGAGTGCGGACCAGTCGATTCCAACCCATAGCAACCCCGTGTGACAGAGTAGAACTGCCCCATAGGGTTTTCTAGGCTGTAATCTTTATGGAAGCAGATCATCAGGTCTTTCTTCCGTGGAACTGCTGGTGGATTCAAACCACCAACCTTTCGGTTAGCAATCAAGCACTTAACCATTGTGCTACCTGAAAAACAAAACAAAACAAAACAAAAAACACCAAACCTGTTGCTGTCGAGTCGATTCTGACTCATAGAGACCCTATAGGACAGAGTACTACTGCCCCATAGGGTTTCCAAGGAGCGCCTGGTGGATTTGAACTGTCAACCTTTTGGTTAGCAGCTGTAGCTCTTAACCACTGCACCACCAGGGCTTCCATTGGGCTCCTACATTTCAGTTATTTACATATTTTTTTTCTTTTCATTTTCTTCTCGTTCAGATACAGGTAGACCTTTTGTAGAGATGCACAGTGAAATACCTGACATCATCAACATGACGGAAGGACAGGAGATCGTCATTCCCTGCCGGGTCACCTCACCGAACATCTCTGTGACTTTAGTAAAGGTAAAGTGGAACAATGCAAGTCTCGGAATATTTTCACCTCAAAAGGAGCATAATGAAAGTTTAATCATTTCTCTCTCTAGAATAATAGGCTTATAGGTCTTTGGGTTTCTCAGTGGACTTTTCTGCAGCATCTGTTTACTATAAAGGATGAGTGCTATCAGTTATACCCATGCATGTATTTAAGTAGGATAAAATGATAATGTCTTTAAAAGCTCCAGATGGAGACACATGAAGATGATCTGGCCGCCCTAGTGGAAAAAACTGCTAATTGGTTTCTCTACTGAGAATCAGGTCAGTTTATTACGAAGATTCCCAGAGGTCAAAGAGATATGGGCTCACACTAGAAGTCTGACATGACAACTAGGCCCATCCTAGGTGGGTACAGCTTGTTGCCAAAGGTGACAGAAATCTCCTCACAACAAATTTACATCTTGCTATATCCAAAGAAAACTAAAAAAACAATTAAAACCAATTGGGAGTTTTCATCTGCCATATTTTCATTCCTGATGAAAGAAAATAAGGTTTTCACCAACTGTTAGTGAAACAGGATTATCACAGTGCTAATGATTTTGTTCAAGCATTTTTTTTTCCCATTTCAGTTTCCACATGATATGCTGATCCCTGATGGAAAACGAATAATCTGGGACAGTAGGAGGGGTTTTATAATCTCAAATGCAACTTACAGAGAAATAGGCCTTCTGATCTGTAAAACAAGAATCAACGGACATTTCTATCAGACAAGCTATCTAACATACCGACAAAGTAAGTGATGTTCTCAAGGTGTGAACATAAGCCAAAACACTCTGTAGTTTATCTACTTAATGAAACCCTAATTAAAAAAAAAACAAAAAACGTGTATCTCTTATCCTTGCAGCCAATATAATCAAAGATGTCCAAATCAGCACACCAAGTCCAGTCAGATTATTTAGAGGACATACTCTTACCCTCAACTGCACTGCTACCACTGCTTTAAACACAAGAGTTCAAATCACCTGGAGTTACCCCGATGAGGTGAGTGACCCACTTTACTATTTCCTCTGTAAAACAGTATTTATTTTTAGTAAGTGAAATCCTACTAGGTTTGGGGGTAGGGGGGAGAAGGTAGTTCTCAAAGGGAGGAGTAACACCTATATAAGTAGAGTTTCAGAAAGTTCTCAGTCTGTTTAAGGGATCCATGCTCTGGTTTTTGGCGGTGGGGAACTGCTTTTTGAGTCAGTATTCTGGCTCCTGTAGAAGGTTTAGTCATTAAAGAAGCTTTAGGTTTTGGTGCTTTCCTGGCCTTGCGTTTCATGGGCGTGATAGGCATAGATCTGGTCTTTTGATGTGTGGGGTTTTTGTTTTAAAGCTTATAGGCTGGTATTTCTATCGCATGATTCTGGGTGGAAAAAGAGATTGTTTCATCCTTGGAAATTGTTCTCTAGGATTTAGAGATGAGAGAGAAAGTTATCACCATATGCCAGGCAAGGACTGTCTTTTGTAACAACAACAACAAAAAGTTTTCCGGAGGCTGTCTTTGTCAGCACATCCATTTAAAAGACTGGCAGACAGGCAGGCACCTGATTGGAGCATGTTTGGAAAAGATATTACAATCCAGCAATTCAGTACCACATTTGTCAAGTGTCAAAGGAGCAATGCTGTCCTTCAGAAAAATGAGAAGAATGAAGACTGAGTTGGGTTTCCTTATTCAAACTGAGCATCCTTGTAAACAATAGTTATTTTAAAAACCCGTGGATGGGGAATCTATGATAAACTGTTAGCAGAATTCGGACAGGAGTTCCAGCCCTTATTTCTTTGTGTCGGTGTGATTTATTGTGGCATATCCCACGTACAGTCATTTGTTATATCATGCAGATTTTCCAGTCACAAAGTCAACTTATGATTAAATTAGGTACGAAAGATTAATGCATCAGCCCCCCCAAGCCTTTTTTTTTTCCCCATTAACATTTCTTCCCATGGAAATAAAATAACTTAGTAGCAGAAAGGCATAACAGGTGCCCTGTAGTGACACATTAAGGACTTATCAGTCATAAGCTATTTTCTAGAAAGTTGTGGTGTTTCATGTAAATAAAATGCTATGACTTGTAGCGATATTTCCAGTATTTTGAAATAATATATTTTCAATAAATGCCAAGAGGGAAGGAGCTTTTATCATGTTAACATTGCTATTATAAGTAAGAGTATTGATAATACTCCTGAATTATTGAATGCCAATAATCTAATATGGCGCTGCCCAATAGAATTGTCTGATGGAAATATTCTATCCCTGTGCTATCTAATACAGTAATCTCTAGCTACATGTGACTATGAACACTTGAAATGAGGCTAGAGCTTCTGCGGAACGGAATTTTAGATTTTAATTAACTTTAATTAATGTTAATTTAAATAGCCGCATGTGGCTGGTGGCCGCAAGACTGGACAGAGCAGTTCTAAAACACAGGATCCGTTGTTTTCCAAGGTGGAAGCAAATACCAATGTTACTCAACCTTGGGGAAAAGAAGGTAGTTCTCAAAGGGAGGAGTAATACCTATATAAGTAGAGTTTCAGAAAATTCTTCCATCTGTTTAATTGAGGAGATTGATGCTCTGATTTTTGGTGGTGGTGATTGACATTTTCTCTCTGGTTACTGCTGAGAATGAAGGAAATGGCCTAATCATGTGTCTGTTCCCACAGGGCAATAAAAAGATAGGTGGGTAGAAGTTTATTAAACATGGCGCAGAAGAAAACTAAGTCCAGGACCCAAAGATCAGTTCTGGACAGCTTCTGAAATCTTTTTTCCATGCCCCTTATGGGGAGGATTGAGAGGAGGAGATAGCATATTATGGGTTATAAAATGTAAGGCCAAAAAAAGAAAAGAAAAAGGAAGGAATAATTAAAGGGTAAGGTAATGTGATCTCATATCTCAAAACTGGCAGAAGGTCATTGTGGCCAGTCCAAATTGATAAGCCTCCAGGTCTTCTCTTGGTCTTCCCTGAGGTAGACATGGGATGACAACCCCCCCCCCCACTCCCCACCCCAGGAGCCTCCAGGTCTTCTCTTGGTCTTCCCTGAGGTAAACATGGGCCGACACCACCCCCCACCCCCAAGGGGCCTCTAGGTCTTCCCTGAGGCAGACATGAAATGATACCCCCACCCAAGTGTTGGCTAAACTTGTTGATGGCTTTGCATGCCTCCAGGTCCATTTACTATGATTTGGCAAAGAATTGGCAAGTGCTGCTCAAATAACAGAATAGTGCAACTGGGATTGTTACGGTTAGGGTTAGGGTTAGTGGGGACTCATCCTTTCTTTCATTTCTAGTAGGGCAGCAAAAGGAAACTGGAATTGTGATTTACTAAGAGAAGCACTGTCATTAAGCCAGATACTACTGATAATTCTTGGCTGTGTTTGTGTGTGATGTTTATGCCTAGAGAAGGACAGACACTAGATCTGTACTCCAAAGAGCTGAGTTCCCAGCCTCCTTTGGTTGGCGTCTGTGTCACTTCAGGGATTTCATTGATAGAAGGGCAATAATCCTGCTGATCTCACAAGTTTGTTGTGAGAAAAATGGAGATAGTTTATGTGAAAGTCTATTTGAAGATAATGAAGTGCTAAATAAATGCTGCTGTGTTCTATATTTTAAACATATCTAGACAGAGATGTATTTCCAAACATCTTGCCCTAGTTGGGTATGATAGGCTTCTTAACATAAAAAGAAACTGCTGTTAAAATAACGATTTCAGTAATGATCTGAGAAATGCTGTAACTTTAAGCATGAACAATTACAGCTTGTACATTTAAGTTATATATTTCCTTCCTAGATAAATAAGAGAGCTTCCATAAGTCCACGGATTGGCAAAAGCAATTCACATGCCAAAGTATTCTACAGTGTTCTTATTATTGACAAAGTGGAGAACAAAGACAAAGGACTTTATACTTGTCATGTAAAGAGTGGACCATCATACAAATCGGTCAACACCTCGGTGCATATATATGGTAAGCGATAGTTCACAATTGCCAACTCAAGCTGTACTTTCTCATCATTGTGGATTCTTAAGGTTCTGGAAAACATGTCAGTTTTCTTTTGGCCGTGAATTACAATGTCATGAATTAATGGAACTTTGCCATGTTTCCCTTGTCGCCTTGCCACCTACTAGAAAGCAAATCACATTAAGTGCTCTTTAAATCGAGTACTTTTGAATTAGACAGAGTCTTTTCTTTACAAGTTTATTGTGGCTAATAATTCAGTTAGATAATATCATAATTTTGTTTGTGAAATTATTTAGTGTTTCATATAAACAAAAGAGAAAAAGATAACTAGTTTTATTACCTGGGGAAATTTTTGCAGGTACTACTATGAATTGGAGAAATAAAGATATAGTGTGATAAATTATTATTTAGAATTGATGCTATTTTATCTCTAGTTTTACTGTCATGGAATCCTAACATTGTTGCTTAATTTCAATATGCAAATTATATAAACCCCATTGTTGTAGCTGTTGGCTGCCTCGAGGCTATTCCCACTCATAGCGACCCCATGTGACAGAATAGAATTGCCCCGTAGGGTTTTCTTGGCTGCAATCTTTATGAAAGCAGACTGCCAGGTCTTCATCCTGAGGAGCCTCAGGGTGGGTTCGAACTGCCAACCTTTCTGTTGGCAGCCGAGCACTTAACAATAACTCTACCAGGGCGCCTTATAAACCCCATTAACCAAACCAAACTTATTGCTGTTGTGTCAACTCCGACTCATAGCGACCCTACAGGACGGAGTAGAACTGCACCATAGGGTTTCCAAGGAGTGGCTGGTGGATTTGAACTGCTAATCTTTTGGTTAGCAGCCGAGCTCTTAACCACTGCACCACCATGGCTCCATAAACCCCATTAGAATCCTTAAAAATCTTATTTATTTCCACTGTTGGAAGAAAAAAAAAAGTGTGAGGAGCAGAAACACTATGGAACAGTTCAATCAGTTTTCCTTTATTTCCTTTTGGCATTCTCTACTTGATTGTTGATATCAAATTAGTGGTTTTAGGATGTTCACAGCAACTTTCTCCCATCTTACATTTGCCAGGCTAATTTTTAGAAATTTCTTCATACTTTTCTGTTACTGTGATTTAGCTATTTAAGATTTTCCACTTTCTATTGCCCTACCACTGTGGGTTTTTTTTTTTTTTAAACTGTGGATAGGTGTATATTATATTGTCCTGCCATTGTTTTCATGTCTCTGGGACTTACAGCCATTTTATTTTAAAGTATTTCACCAGTTAGGGTGCTGTTAAATTATTTTAATCATTGATCTATGTTTAGGTTCATTAATAGGCTCTATTTATTCACGGGTCGTATCCTCCCTAAATGAGGCAGTGAGGTTTTGTTATATTTTGTTACTGGTTTTTTGTTTTGTTGTTTTTTGACATAAATATATTCTTTTCTAATGTATTTATCACTTCTCCTTTCAAAGATAAAGCATTCATCACTGTGAAACATCGAAAACAGCAGGTGCTTGAAACGGTAGCCGGCACGCGGTCTTACCGGCTGTCTGTGAAAGTGAAGGCGTTTCCCTCGCCAGAAGTTGTATGGTAAGACCATAGTCACTATTTTCATCAGCTTAAGATACGCTTGCAAGTGGGAAGATGCAAGAGCTCAATGACCTGACTTCCTGGAAAAAATGTATCAAGTTCCCCAGACTGAAAGCTAAGAACTGTATTGATTTTCCAGCAGGGAGGGGTGGAGGTGGGGACTAATGTAACAGGATGGAGCAAGGGATTAGCTTTTCTTGAGTGTTCGTGTCAGTTTGGTCAGTCACTGACTGAGACTAAATTTCTGCGTGTCTAAACCTCCCGATGATGTCAACATCCTTCGAATGGGATGTGTTGGGCTGTGACTAGGACGCATCTCACGTATGTACCATGCTCTATTAACCCTGAAGAAGTAGGCTCTTGCAATGAGGATGCTGGAAATACTTCTTTTATGTACAGCTGGATGGAAAGTTCCAGTCTTGTTTTCAAATTAAGCAAACATTCATAAAGACAAGACCTGTTCAGTTGCAGGGTGGACGAATGGACCTTCTTGAATTAATTTTTTTTTTTTTTTTTTGGCTCAAAGGGTGCATATTGAGAAACTCCTGAGGCCGTTTTTTAAATACTAGTACAACACCTTGATTTAAAACAATGTAATCTGTTTATAATCTGCAGTCATTTTGCTAAATGACTTTTAAACACCAATATCTTTGGCTCAACTCATTACATTTTTAACAAAGGGTATAGTCTGAAGCTAATTAAGAAAACAACCCAATATAGAAGTGGTGCCATTTGAGAATCTCTGCAACCAGAGCTTACTTTTCTTTCAATGTCATAAGCATAGTGTTTAATTGTTTTCTGCTTCCTCAAATAGTTAATTAGAAATTAAAAAAAAAATTTAACTTTCTGCTATTTCCCTTCATGCCCCCTCAGTAGAAAAGGGACTTTCTTTTTTTTTGTCTTGTAATATCTAAAAGGTTTATTAGTAAATTTCCCATGCTCATTGCCATCGAGTCAATTCTAACTCCTAGCAACCCTATAGGACAGAATAGAACTTGATGGCAATGGGTTTTTGATTCTATACTTAAAATTAAAAAAAATTTTTTAATAGTTTATACTTTCTGTTTGTGCGTTTTGTGCCTTAACTGTTCTTCCTGAGGGGAAAAAAATCTTGATAGTCTTGATTTCACTATAACTTATGAAAGGGACAACTGGTGTGACCATTTATATAACTAATAAGAACTCCACATGAGATCACAATAGAAAGGTCTATTTTTATTTTATCTGGAGAAGTGATCTAGTTGATCTAACTTACAATGGCCCTTGTGTTGCTGATGGAGTCTCATGGAAAACTCTGAAAAATATCCTGGGTGGAATCAGACATGGTGCCTCTGCGTTAACACTTAACAATGGCAACTGTGGGTGCATTTAAAAAAAAAATCTGTTGCTGTGGAGTCGATTCTGACTCATAGCAACCCTTTAGGGCAGAGTAGACCTGCCCTCTATAAAACTGCCGGAATGCTCCTTGGAAGTGAGGATGGTGAGACTTCGTCTCACTCGTTTTTGACATGTTATCAGGAGGGGCCAGTCCTTGGAGAAGGACATCATGCTTGGTAAAGTAGAGAGTCATCAAAAAAGAGGAAGACCCTCAAAGAGATGGATTGACGTGGTGGCTGCAACAGTGGGCTCAAGCATAGCAACAATTGTGAGGATGGCGCGGGACTGGGCAGTGTTTCGTTCTGTGGTGCGTGGGGTGGCTATGAGTTGGAGCCAACTCAACAGCACCTAACAACAACAGAACTACCCCATAGGGTTTTCAGGGAGCAGCCGGTGGATTCAAACTGCTGACCTTTTGGTTAGCAGCCGGGCTCTTAACCACTGTACCACCAGGGCTCACTTTTATTTCTTCCCTCAGCTTACTTCTTCCCCTTTGCCAATAAACATGAAGCTGTCCCCAGTTGAAAATCCTACCTGCCTGTACCGAAAAGTTCGTGCCTACACTTTTTAAATCAATGTAGAGGATCAGGAGACTTGAGACGGAAAAACCTGAGCTCACAACAAACTTCAGTGACAGGGTTATTAGAGTGATACATGAGAGGCAGTGCCGAGTGACTTACTGATCATTTTCTTCACCAAAGGTTAAAAGATGGCTTACGTGCAACGGAGAAATCTGCCCGCTATCTGGTTCATGGCTATTCATTAATTATCAAAGATGTGACTGCAGAAGATGCGGGAGATTATACCATCTTGCTGGGCATAAATCAGTCCGATGTGTTTAAAAATCTCACCACCGCTCTCATTGTAAATGGTAAGGTTACTGTTCCTGCTTTCTTCTGGTTCCAGTAGAGGGGAAATTAATGAAAATTTGTAAATTTAAAAGTCAGTGTAACAACATTAAAGACAACAATTTTTGCCGAATAATAGACAAGCACGTAAGATAAACAATAACACCCGAGAGGAACGTACTCCTTTAGAACAATCAATTATACGAGATCCAAAGGGCATTATCTGCCCCAAAGCAAAGATGAGAAGGCAGGAAGGGTAGAAAATCAGGACAACAGAAAATGGGGGAACCCAGGGTAGAAATGGGGAGAGTGCTGACTCGTTGTGGAAAATGAAACATTTTATGTACATACTATCAAATGGGAAACTAATTTGCTCTGTAAACTTTCCCCTAATGTACAATAAAAAAAAAATTTTTTAATAAAATACTGATTTATTAATTCAGTACTTTTCATTTAAGTATATCACAGCCAAAATACAAAGATAATGCTCTTTCTCTATCTTGATGTACTAAAAAGAAAATACAGAGTTAACTTTGTCTTGTTTAAGAATTTCATGTAATAACCTGACCTCAAATACGTTACGCTATCTGAGAGACATATGTGAAAACGAGCCACGGAAAATTATGTAAATATTTCACTTTGTAAAACAAATGGCTCTTCCTTACTTACAAAAACACTTTAAATTTATAAAGCATTTCGCTGAAGTGCCCTGAAAAACCTCACACACATGATAAAATCTTATTTGATATTTCCATTAACTCTATGAGGTTCGAGCCCTGGTAGTGCAGTGGCTAAGCACTCGGCTGCTAACTGAAAGGTTGGTGGTTTGAACCCACCAGCCACTCTGCAGAAGAAAGAGGTGGCAGCCTGCTTCTGTAAAGATTTACAGCCTTGGAAACCCTATGGGGGCAGTTCTACGCTGTCCTATGAGTTAGAATTGACTGGACAGCAATGGCTTTGTTTTGGTTTCTGTGAGATACATAGGAGCCATGTTACCATCCCCATTTCACACATAAGAAAACTGAGGTCTAACCTTTTCAAAGCAATGGCGTTCAAATGTTTTTTGGCTGCCATTGGCAAAGACAACACAATTCTTTGTGATTGTTTTAAAAACCACGACGTACACTTCCATCATAAGGATTTCCTGTTGACTTGTTACCTTCCATAGGCAGAATGTTTTTTTAACATGGCAATCATAATGTACATATCATGGAATTGGATTTTTAATGTTCGCATAAAACACTTATACTTTTTTTTTTTATATTGGCATTTTCTTGACAAATATGAGGGGCTATTTGGTGTCTGTTAATGTATTTACTTCCCTGACATCAGAACCACTGAGAATCTGGTCCTTTGTGCCCGTGAGGAAGTCACCAGAACAGCTCTTGACTTCTGTCCTGTTCTTCATCTCCTTTCCAGTGAAGCCCCAGATTTATGAAAAGGCCTTGTCATCATTTCCAGACCTGACTCTCTACCCCCTGGGCAGCAGACAGATCCTGACTTGCACTATTCATGGTGTCCCGCAGCCTACAATCAAGTGGTTCTGGCAGCCATGTCACCATAATCGCTCCAGAGCAAGGTAGGGATGACTCGTTTCTTGAGGAACTTTGAAATATTTTTTGGCACCTGGGATCAAAATTCTTTAATGGACAGAAATGAGAGTTGGCAGCTTATTTATTTCTGATTGCAGTGTATTTGGGGCAAAGGCTTTCCCTGCCTCAGAAAGAGGTAGGCAATGGCCACACTTTTTCCTTAGCATTACCTACCACGGACTCACCACTCATAATTTTTCTCTTTCGTGTGTACTTTTAGGAGCACAGGCACAGAACTGAGGTTACCCTGTGATCCATGTTTTGGACTTTGTATCCATTGGACATGGGACTAGATCTTCCAAACACTGATTATCAACACTGTTCATACTTTTGGGCTTTGCTCATGCTCTTCCACCATCTGAAATGCTCTTGTACCCATTCTCTGCCTTCTCTACCCTCCAAGACTCAGCTCTTATGTCACCTTCTCTGTGAACGCTGACTGCCTCAGTCATATTCTTCTCCCTCCTCAGTGTGAACAACAGCTCTTTGTTCATCCCATCATGGAATCACTAGTGGTGCACATGTTGGCCTTTTCCTCTGGGCTCTGAGCTGATTGAGAGCACTGGTGTTCCTTCAGGGCCTAGCACAGTATCTGGCACACAGTAGACGCTCAGTGTGTATCTGATGAATGAATTGAGTGAATGAGTACATTTCTGTCCTCTGTTGATTCTGCAGCGTTTCCTCGCATCCTGTTGATGTCCAAGCCCTATTTGTTTTATTTGCTTTTTTTTCCTTTTTGTTTAGTCTAGAGGGATGATACTAATGATAGTCCATGGAGCTCATTTGAAGAACAGGAATAGAGTTGATAGGTGCAGAACTGAGATAATACTGAGACAACTCGAGAATGTTCATTATGCCAAAATAGTTTCTTTATTGCTCTTAGCCCTGCTCTCAGTGTGCAGGATGGTTGCTGTTGAAACACACACATAGGCACACAATCACACACACGCATACACAGAGACACACACATACACAGATACATGCATATACACACACATGCACCCACGCCCACATACACACCCACAAACCAAAAAATTTAAAAAACTAGCTTGATTAAAAAATAAACAAGACAGAACTCTAGCATAAACAGAGACAAGTGGCTATTATTTGGTTTCCTAGATTCGTCCTGCAATCCCAGCTCTTCCTCATCTTGTGTTGCCGTCTGTTGTTGGGGCTGTTTCACTCTGAAAGTGGAAAGATACTGGTGGGTATGGCCTTCCTGAGAAGTAGCTGTTTCCACACATGTCTGATTTCTCATCTGAGTGTCATTTTCTAAAAAATAGAAACGTGGTTTCGTATCTTGGATATCTTCCACCCTTGTGGATATTTAACCCAAAAGAGAGTGAGATCTGCTGAGGTTTCTCATTATTTGGCTGATATGGGGTAGGCATCCGTATTTGTGAGTCCATCCCTTTAAGGTTTTGACATTTGTGCTAGCCTAACATGTAAATAAATTTAAATTAATTAAATAATTGAAGCTGTTAGGTTTGGCCTAAAATGCAGAATTGCGTTTTCACAGAATAACATGGCCTCACAAGTATTTTAAAATTTTGTTTTGACAGTATCAAATCTAAACTCACAATTCTATTTAGAATTAGAGTTAGTTACTATATGTTGGAAAAGAACAATTATGAGTGATAGAACACAACGTTACAAAGTCAGGTGTGAATACTGATAGTAAAGTATGGTGTGGAGAATGAAGCAAGCTGAGGTGAAACGTCATAAATATTAGCTCTCTTTTTCTGGTTCTTTTGTGGTGTATGGAAACGCTGGTGGCATAGTGGTTAAGAGTTCGGCTGCTAACCAAAAGGTCGGCAGTTCGAATCTACCAGGCGCTCCTTGGAAACCTTGTGGGGCAGTTCTACTCTGTCCTGTAGGGTCACTATGAGTCAGAATCCACTTGATGGCAGTGGGTTTTTGTGGTGTATAAGGAGCCCCGTTGGTGCAGTGATTAAGCACTCCACTGCTAACTGAAAGGTCGGTGGTTTGAACCTACCAGCTGCTTCGCGGTAGATGTGGCAGTCTGCTTCCATAAAAATTTACAGTCTTGGAAACCCTATGGAGCAGTTCTTCTCTGTCTTATAGGGTCTCTGTGAGTCAAAATCGACTTGATGGTGATGGGTCTTGTGATGTATGGGATCCTTTTCCCATATTGTGGAATAAGCTCACCAATACAGGAAAGATGTCTGATTCCTTGTGGAAGTCTCGCCATAAATGTTAAATCGGTGTTTGAGCATTTGAATTATTCCCTGTCAGCGGCATTCATTCATTTACTCATCACAAGACAGCTGAGAAAAGGGAGCTTTAACTCCTTCCGTGCTGCTTCATTTTTTATATGTTGTTGCTTGAAATTATCCACTGAAAATGTACCTATCCACAAGAAGTTCTCTGCTCTCTAGGGAACAGATAGACTAACTTGTGAACTATTTCACCCCGTCAGAGCAATACAAGCTAACATTTACATATAAATGAAGTCCTCTTTAATTACTTCTTTTTTTTTAAATAAAAGTTTTTATATTATAGGTATGTTCTTATACATTTAGATTAACACTTACATTCAGTCGGCGTTTAGAACGCAACAGCTGCTCCACAGGAGAAAGATGGGACAGTCTGTCCCTGTAAAGACTGCAGCCTTGGAAACCCTATGGAGCAGTTCTGCTCTGTCCTATAGGGTCACTAGGAACCAGAATCTTCTCAACAGCAATGGGTTTTAACATTTGAATAAGGGATGTTCTATCACACAGATTTTTAAAATCTTACTTATTTTAAGTTATGTAGTAACATATCTGCAAAGTGGTATGTATATATGGTCATGAAAACAGATTGAATGATTAATAGATACACATTAAACTACTCTTAAATATGTGGAATAATTCATGACATTTAAATTTTAGGCTCTAGTTAAAGGACACATCTATGTATTGACACAACCAAAGCATTAGTTTAGTTTTGAGTCTAGAATGTGTGTGTGTGCGTGTTTTAAGTAACTCAAAATTATTAATTGATTTAATATAGCTAGCTGGTTAATGTATCTCAGTTAATATAGAGAGATTTAAATTGCATCATTTCCTGGAGTCTACTAAATATGGAAATATATTTTGAAACTATCAGAACTATTGCATAACGGTTTCATATTTATGGATATTAGAGCCTTAAGTAAATTCACCAGAAATATCTTCCTTTTTTTTTTTTTAATAAATGTGGTAAAATACTTTGACTGAATGACATAGTGGTTTTCGTTTTTCCTAGAATTTTGTTCTTATAAAATACCAAGAATAAAAGAGAGGAGGCGGGGGAATGGATGGTTATTTCAAAATTCACATATCTAATGAGCTGAGAGGAAATACAACAGAATCTTTCCCCTTTTTTTCCTGCAGATTTGAGTGGTAAGGTGGTCATGGAATTAGGATATCTCTTTTGAGTACTTGATAACATTAAAATAAGTTATCAGTACTGAATGAGGTGAAATTTTGGATTTTTCTCATCTTCAGCAACTGACGAAACCAAACCCATTGCCATCCAGTCGATTCTGACTCCTAGCCACCCTACAGGACAGAGTAGAACGGCCCATAGGGTTTCTAAGACTGCCACATCTTTCTCCCGAGGAGCGGCTGATGAGTTCGAACGACGACTTTTCAGATAGCAGCCGAGTGCTTAACCACTGCACCACCAGGGCTCCTTCTGGCAACTGATAGTGACTTCTAAATAGATATTTATAAACTTGCCCGATGTTAACCAAACCAAACCTGTTGCCGTTGAGTCGATTCCGACTCATAGCTGCCCTGTGTTAGCCCGGGTATAAACCTGGGGAGCATGCACAGGGTGTTAAGCTTATAATACCTAGCACATGTCTATAGTTTACAGCTCTGTTCACATAAAATGAAAATAATTATACACACTTCATACAAAGAATATGAGGATCAAATGAAGTAAAGTACGTAGAAAAAGTACCAAACGCCACAGAAATGCAAGACTGTAATTGTTACTAATTGAGTCAATGGCAATGGGTTTGGTTTTGGTTTTCAATTGTTACTAAAGGAGCTCTGGTGGCACAGTGGTTCAGGTCTTGGCTGCTAACCAGAAGGTTAATGGATCGAACCCACCAGCCACTCTACAGGAGAAAGATGTGGCAGTCAGCTTCCATAAAGATTACAGCCTTGGTAACCCTATGAGGCAGTTCTACTCTGTCCTATAGGGTCACTATGAGTCAGAATTGACTTGATGGCAATAGGTTTGGTTTTTTAAATAGTTACTAGCATTGGAGTAAACTTCTCTAAATAGGGGCCAAGAACTTTTTAGGAACTCGAAAGAAAGTTTCTGCTGGTTATAGAGCTAATTTCACAACAGTGAGAAAGTCTACCAAATGTTTCTGAGAAATGAACCCAAATTGGTCATTTGAAAGTAAAATGCAATGTTGCTGTGCTCTAGAAATAGAAATTTCGTGGTTTCGGGGGAAAAACGGGCTGTAGAATTGAGGAAGATATAATTTATGATATTTCAGAGGAAGAAAAATTAAGGGAATATAGAAGAGTTGGGCAAACGTAAAAGGAAGAATAGAGAAAAGGACGTGATGGGGAACTAAGGCAACCTTCCAGTTTGTGGCCTGTCCATTCATTTGTTTCCTGTCATGGGAGGAAGTGGTTCCAACCTGGGGGTTGGCTGTGACCGGGGTGGGGCAGAGTGGGAGAGCTGATTCCTGCTCAGCCAGTCCACATGAGACTTCAAGAATTCCCCATCCCTCTTACATTTTGAAGAACTGAGGGAAACTATAAAATCTTCTGTGCTATGAGCTACTCTGGATCTCCCAGTCCTTGATGAGCCTGGCCACAATGCTCAGACAGTCTCATGTTGAACAGCCGATAGGATTTTCTTGGCTGTAATCTTTACAGAAGCAGATGGCCGGGTCTTTCTCCCAAGGAACCTCTGATTGGGTTCAAACCAACAACCTTTTGGTTAGCAGCCAAGCGCTTAACTGTTGTGCCACCAA